AGACGAACCATAGTGCCAGCGACCACAAGCGGACACCCAATCGAAGCTCTGCAAAGCCTGTTCATTCTCGCACGGCTTGTGAGCGAACTTGGTTCGCGTATTATGCACGAAAACCGCCTTGTTCTGCCAGCATTCGGCCACAACTCGGCGAACCACTGACTCGACTTCGTCAGGGGGAACCCTTTGCACATGCTGTTGACTCGAACTCGCGGCACTCTCTGGGCTCGGCCGAAGTAAGGGCCGAGCGAACCTGCGCGGCTGTCTGATCTGGGACGAAAATAGCGTCTTGTACGTATCTCATCACGGACATTGAGCCCCACCGGCCAATCACTTGAATCACCGGCAGGGGCACCCCCGCACTTGCGAAAAGCTGCGCTCCCGAGACGCGGAAGCAATGTTGTGACCATTTCTCCAGCGCAGTCGGCGACCATTCGTACAAAGTCTCTTGATGCAAAACAAAAGCACAGATCCGAGCCAGCTGAGTCAGTTGACGCTGGGTCACAGCGGACTGGCCGTCGCCGAACAGCGGCTGCGAAGGGTCGTACGACCCTGACTTCCGTCTGCGAACAATCATTTCCAACAGCGCATGAAAAACGCATAAAGGATGTCTGCCCGAACTGCACTTGCACCTTTGCAGAGCCGTGAACATGGTAGCCTTATCTTCGGAATGCGGACAATGTCGCTCGTGTTCCAGCGAACAGATACAGACGTGTCGTCTCTCGCAACCCTTGCCTTCGAGGTCTGTCTTGCTCACTGGCAGACGAACTGTCACCGCCCTTTCGGATCTGTTAAAACGAACATCCTCGCCCTTGACCCCTGCGACCTCGATTCCGCGGAGAAGGAACCACACTGCAGTGATCGCCGTAGCAAACGGTTCCTTCACTCTAAGCGACATCGGCACTTCCAGTTCAGTGTACGCCTGAGCGCAGACATGAAATCGAGCCGAACATGGTCGAATGAGATGTTGAGCTTCGCTGCTGCGGGGCCAATGCCACGCGTGATCGAACGAATGGCCTGTGCACGAGCCAAGTCGAGCTGCTGCGACCATGTGTGACCTGCTTCGATATGGCGCGATTTTGCAATAGCGAAACATTGGGCAGCAGAGCGGTACCGCCCGACCTTCATCAATGCTCCTATCGCGAAAATCAGCTCCACAGTCACCGGAAGCGGAGCCATCTTTCTTTTAGCGGCCATGAGTGTCCACGTCGCCCAGCGACTCTCGCGTGGTGCTTGAGACGACTTCGCGAAACGACCCTGAAGGAACTCGCGATCTGCCTGCTCTAAGTCCACGACCACCCTCTCGTTCTCGGGGCCCGGTGCCAGGCCAATGCGCTGCAGCGAACCTCTGGCGTATGGGTGCACCTCCGGGATGTCGCGGCGGACCTGGGCTCGGGCGGGCTGTGACAGAAAAAGGCGATCCATAGCCACGTCTCCGATCATCGCCCGGATCTGCGACCTGGGGGCGTTCTCGAGTTCCCTGGCTGACTTGATCCCTGCCGATCGCAACTGGCGAACAAAAGCAGAATTTCCCGTCGCTTGCAGAACTGTGACCAGGCTTGCAAAAGAAGAACGGTCGGCATCACACGGAATATGAAACATGGTGAACTAAGGGGGCGCGACCTTGAACGAGCAGTACTGCTCAGTGCTGAGACACTGCAGAGCGGACGCTCTGTGGATTAATGCGAAAACCGAACTGTCGAAACTGACCTGGTCTAAAAGGTCACCTCACCTCGAACGAACGACCAATTATCTCAAGCTGCGAAAGAATCTACGAAAAACATGTCGAACTTGCTGGCTGCACTCGCACATATAACACGTCCCCACGCTCACTTGCGAACCTCCTTCTTTTTGCACCGAACAGGAAGACGCGCACTCTCGAAGGAGGGGCTGTACAGCCGAACAAAAGGCGAACGTAGGCCACGACCATCTAGTTACCC